GAGAATCTTAGGATGACTAAGGGAGCCTTCGCTAGGTTATGTTACCTTCTCCGTACATCTGGTGGATTGTCTGATTCAAAATACGTTTCCGTCACGGAGAAGGTTAAAATCTTTGTTTCCATTATTGCACATCATAAGAAGAACATCATAAGAAGATGAAGGTTGTAAAATTTGACTTCAAAAGGTCTAGTCATACTGTAAGCATTTACGTGCATGAGGTCCTTTTGGCAATTTTGCGTCTTCATTCAATCTTCCTAGTCAAACCAAAACCGATCGATGAGTCCGACAATAGTAACAACAAATGGAAATGGTTCAAGGTATGTCCATGTTCATGATTATATAAATACAAACTTTGTAGAACTCAAATTTCTATTTAATAATCCAAATTTTTAAATGTCGAACATTATTTCATAGGGGTGTCTAGGCGCTTTAGACGGTACTCACATAAGAGTGACGGTGCCGGAAATCGATAAGCCAAGGTACCGTACGAGGAAAGGAGAGGTTGCTGTGAACGTACTAGGCGTAGTCGATCGTAATCTAAATTTTGTGTATGTGTTATTGTTAGTGTTATATACTAAAAGCTTGGCTTTGCATGTTATTACACATTTACACTTTATGAATGAGAATCATGTTAGATTAAACAAGTTCTACGTTCTGTTGTTCTGCAATTAGATAGGGTGGGTCGTCATCGGGCGAACCGAAGATCACTCTATCAGTCACTTACGAACAAGAATAGTTGTTCACAACCTAGATGGACATGAACACCCCATCCGAACGGTTGTAGTGTCAACTGTACAGTTTGTCTTGAATGATTAGTTGCACTAGTACATTTACATATTGAACAGGATCCCGGAGAGGAGAAGTTCATTTTATACTGATCGTCGTAAATGAACTAGGCCTCGGTTAATTACTGCGTTATCTTAACCCGCAAGATATTAAACGGGCAGATATATATATAATATATATTACTTTGATTCACATGGGTGAGGTTCAGTTCGCTGGATTAATATTCCTACTGTTTTGGGTAATATTATTATATATAGGATGTGCTGTTAGGATATTTACGGTCACCATGTGCGTTAGTTTGATGATGTCCCCGGAGTGAGTTCATGAAGGATTGTTATGCTAAACCCTGCAGGTGGATTAAGTTCCGGCATAATAAGAATGTGATGGACGAGCGCTAGCTTCAGTGAAATAATAATAAATTAATTAATTCTTGTTTGTCAGTAATCGAATTAGTTAATGGACATTATATCTTAAACGTGGGGAGGTAAATCGAGTAATTATTATTGGAGTCTCAAATGTAATTTGGGCTAGGAAAAGGGAGTGCAATAATATAATTTTGGTGGCCCATTAATATTATTTAATTAATTAGAGGAGTGGGCTTGGCCCACAGTTAGTCTAATTAATTAAGGAGCCCTTTTCCTAATCTCCTAAGGGTCCCTACTGTAGCTCTATATATACATCATTAAGCTCATGAGAAGAGAACAGAATTGCTAGAACTCGTTCCTCTCTCTCTCTCTCTAGATCTCATTCGAGCTTTATTTTCTTCTTGTTGCTCCACTGGTACAAGTTGAAGAAGAGTGTATTGAGTAATACAGTAGAAGATCTGTAGGTAAACCGAGACGAAATATATTTTGACCTACAGAACTAATCAGAAGTCCGATTGAGACATATAGCATACCCAGACGACCATCTCGACGAGAGCTTTCCATCGCCGCCGAGATCGCCGGAATCCGACGCGGCACGCGCTCTTACGCGCCGCCGGAAGCTCTCAGGCTGCAAAGTTTCGTTTTGATCCATTTGCATCCGTTTGATCCGGTTTTGATCTGATCTTGTTCGTGCAACCCAAGACGTGATTTGCGGTCAACCGTTTGTGGTCAACCAGATCTACATAAATTTTAAGTCGTAAGTTCTCTACGTCAAACCTTTAGATCCGCTGCGCATAGGTTTACATTTGCTATTGAATTCGTGACTTGTATATAACGAGATCCTCACAGATCTCAACAGTTGTGTGGATGGGAAGGTTCGGCGGCCGATTTTTGAATGCTTAGAGACGCAATTAATAGACCTAATGGCTTGAAAATCTCTAGAGGTAATGGACTAAAATGGTTTTTGGGAGCATTACAGTTAAACACCATCATAATTTTGTAACAAAATCTAATGAAACCTATAAATTGTTATGTGTTGTAGGTAACTATTACCTCTGTGATAATGGGTACACAAACGATAAGGGTTTCTTGAGTCCATACAAGGGTGTTAGGTATCATTTAAAAGATTGGGGAGAAGGAAGGCTCACACCTCAAAACCGATATGAATTTTTCAACATGTGTCATTCCAAAGCAAGAAACGTGGTTGAAAGGTCTTTCGGTATTTTGAAAAAAAGATGGTCGATCCTTCGCAGTGCAACGTTTTATGATATAAAAACTCAAAATAGATTGATAATGGCATGCGTACTTCTTCATAATTTCATTCGAATGGAGCTTCCTATGGATCCCATGGAGATGATGGTAGGAGAAGAGGATGAGATTGAAGATGGTGACGACGTGGACGTGTCATTCATTGATTTTGTTGAGAACTCAGATGAGTGGTCTGATTGGAGAGACACCTTAGCTACGTCCATGTTCAATGAGTGGAGATGTACTTTTTGAATTGATATGTATTATTGTATTGGGTTTTGAACTCTTAGACAGATTGTTGAGTTATTTAATTTAATACATTATTGTCGTCATTGTATTATTTGCATTTTACTTAATTTATTTTATTGAACTCAATCATTGTTGTATATTTTTTCTTGTTTAATATTTCAGTTGCTTTAAATCCAATCATTCATGTTTGTGATATTGTGTTACATATTAAAATGTATATGAATTTATCCAGCTATTATCCATATTATTTCTGTGATTATTTTGTAGAAATGATGAACTGTAATGGAGCTATGAACCAAAAATCGAGAAAGGCACGGGCAGACAAGGGTCGACGTAATTGGAGTGGGTATGAGGAGCAAACTCTCATTGATGCATTGAAAGGAATAATAGCAAGTGGCTGGAAATCGGAAAACGGCTTCAAGATGGGATTTCTCAACGTCCTTGAGCAGGAACTGGTTAAACAATTACCAGGTACTGATTTGCGAGGTTTGCCCCATATCACCTCAAAAATCCACGTTTGGAAGAAAGATTATGGTAGCCTCTGTACTATGCTTTCGCGAACTGCGTTGGGTGGAATGAAACAAACATGATGATAGAATGTACTGACGAAGCATGAGCTACATGTGTAAAGGTAACTTTTTGGACATGAACTTAGTAGCGGGAATGAGAATTTTATAATCTATCCGCTTGGAGGCCAATTTTCCATTTTAGTTAACCCACTTTTTCTTAGTACAATTTGAAGCTGTGAGTACTGCTATGATCTTCTATGTGTCGGTACTAAATACAGATATATAAAAATTTATAAGAAAAAATAAAGATAACTAACTTAGTGACAATTTTCATAAATTTTGATATAAGCAGTACATTGTGCTATTTGTAAGTTTATAAATTTATGGAAAATATTATGTGTTGTCAAGAATGGAATGATTTTGTCATGCAGATGATATAGTGAAATTGTTTACCTCTTGTGATTTGTTTTTTCGTAGGTCGATGCAAATGCCCGTCTCATGCGTCACAAATCATGGCCATACTACTACGACTGGATGGAGATCTTTGGAAAGGATAGGGCGACGGGTCAACAAGCCGAGGATATCTTTGATGCCGTAAGCAATGTCAATATGTCTGATCCTGCACGTACTTCAAGTCAACCTCAATTCATGAATAATGTCAACATGGAAATGATAGAGATAAAACACATCGACTATTTATAATTATTTTACAAATACCTTCTCCCTTCATAAAACATAATTACAAACATACATGTTCTTGGAAAAAAATCAAATGCAATAGGTATGGAATATATTCCTTTTAACTAAAAAGAGATAAATCTAATAGATAATATTCTCTTTGTAATGTCATTCTTTCAATCTTTCAATGACATATCATTAAAGGGAATCAGAATATATTCCAATTCCTTATATTGAAAAAATGACAACAATTTCTTAGGATGTGGACAAACTTCATGTATTCTATCTCTGGTGAATTATGTAGTTGAAAATAGAGTGTAGCTTAGATTTTGCAGAGGTGAGTTGGTTGTATCAGCATGCGGGTCTATTGCTATTGTCTTACAAAGAAATCTAAGAAATTAGTATTCTATTTTGGTTAGGGTCAGGGGCCTCCTTAGGCCCGTGCGGGCTGTGCGACCTCACAGGGCCCCCAAAATATAAGCTTCACCTTCGAGATCAGATTGGAGAAGAAATCGGCTTTGGGGAAGTTGCAGAAGAAATGCAGAAAAGGGAAAGTGGAATTGGTGTGGAGAAGAAAAGACAAATTGAAGAATTGGGACATTTAGTCAAGGCACGTGGCAAAGGCACTAATTGAAGTCACACATATCAACATTTATTATTTTGAGTTTATTATTATTTGTATTGGCAAATTATGTGGGTCCAAATAGTATAAAGCGTTTGTACCAAAATAAATAAATAAATAGTATAAATCATGTGATGCAATGAACAAAAGGAATCAATCAGCAATTTCTACTTTGTCCTCACTTTCTCGCTCTTGCTCTCTTCTTTATTCTTCCCCAATCTTACCTTCATTCTTCCATTTACAGTAAATTAAATACAGAGAAAATTACAAAAATTATATAAATTACAACATCCCACAACAGCTGTAGAGCCATCGCAACATCGCCCATCGGTGCCATCGGCATCGCCATCTGCCATCTGGCTGTGGCCACTTCTCGCCTCACCAAGGCCACGCGCGAGGCCAAGAGCAGCCAGCAGGTATAAGACTAAGGATTAGTTTCATTTTATTATCTTCTTTCAATCTTTCATCATTTAATTATGTGGATCAGTTGATGTCTGTGTCTTGATTAAAATACATCAATTAATTTTGTTCTTTCCATTGCAAATGCAATTGCAAGTCATGCCATCGGAAAATCATCATAGGAAATATGATTCCGGCTATCAAAAGCATAGAAAGAAACAAAGAGTCGATGAACTAATTGAATCTCAGAAAGGGGCCATGGAAAGATTTATTAGGAAAGAACCACCAGTTAATCAGACACTTGATCAGGGTACTACACAAAATACTAGTGTTCCTAATGATGGTGAGACTGAGACACAGGTAGAGAACATTCCTCCTACACTTGAGGAAAACATTGAGGAAGTTCCTAATAATGGTGATAACATGGATGGCACTAGCATTGATGTTAACTTGGATAGTTCTTCTCATGATGCCAACGTTGATACTTCTTTTTCGCCTGACATATTTGATCCAAGGTATTGGGATTCCCTTGGTCCTAGGAAGATTGACATTTTAGCACAAAAGGGTCCTAAAAGAGATTTATCCATTGTGAAAGGTCCTAAGGATAGATATGAAAGAAGGTTTTCTGCACTAGCCTATACTAGAATCCTACGAAATGGGGAGGGGTGCAATAGAGATTAGCTTGTGTATTCCAAAGAACTAGATAGAGTTTTTTGCTTCAGCTGTAAATTGTTTACAAATGGGTATCGGAAAGGTCAGTTGGCAAATAATGGGTTTAATGATTGGACACATCTTTATGAAAGACTTGGTGAGCATGAAACAAGTTTTGATCATGTTTTGAATATGACTACTTGGTATGATCTGCGTAATAACTTGGAAAAGGGTGAAGGTATTGATAAAGATGCTCAACGACAACTTGAGAAAGAAAAAGAGCACTGGAGAAAAGTTCTCTTCAGAATAGTGGCCATTGTTAAATTTCTAGCCAAGCATAATCTAGCATTTCGTGGCTATAATAGCAAACTGTATGATGATATCAATGAGAATTTCTTGGGTTTAATTGAAATGTTGGCTGAATTTGATCCAGTTATTCAAGAGCGTGTTCGTCGTATTACAAACGAAGAAACTCGTGTCCATTATTTGGGGCCTAGAATTCAGAATGAGTTGATACACCTGCTTGCTCTGCTATTAAGTCTGAAACTATTAAGAAAATAAAGAGTGCAAAGTATTTCTCTGTCATTCTTGATTGTACTCCCGATGCAAGCCACCAAGAACAAATATCTTGATTATAAGATATATGGATTTATCTTCAATTGATGTTCAAATTGAAGAATCATTTATGGGATTTTTAGATGTAAATGATACAACTGGGCAAGGCCTTTTTGATGTCCTAGTAAGTGAATTAAAGAGTCTTTGTCTTGATATAGATGATGTGAGAGGACAAGGTTATGATAATGGGTCAAATATGAAAGGAAAAAATCAAGGAGTACAAAAGAAACTCTTGGATGTAAATCCTAGAGCTTTCCATTCTGCTTGTGGTTGCCACAGTCTTAATTTAACACTTTGTGATATGGCCAAATCTTGTGCTAAAGACTTCTTTGGAATAATCCAACGCATCTACACCACTTTTGCTAAGTCAACTAAGAAATGACATATTCTGAAAGATAACATATCAGGATTGACCCTCAAGTCAGTGTCAGCTACACGTTGGGAGAGTCGTATTGAAAGTGTTAAAGCTATTCGATTTCAATGTGCAGACATTCGAGAGGCTCTGCTTCAGGTAATTGATTTTTTTATTGATAATGATGTAATCCCTTTGGTTAACACAAATAGTAATACATTTTTTCTTTATTCCAATTTCAGGTATCCGATACTGATAATGATCCTGGATCGAGTAGCGAGGCTAAAGGTTTGGCAAATAATAAACTCAGAGAGTTTGAATTTATACTGGCAATAGTCATTTGGTATGAATTATTGTATGCTGTTAATTTAGTGATCAAACATTTGCAAGCAAAGGATATGCTTATTGATGTTGCTATTGAGAAAGTTGAAGGGTTGATTTCTTTCTTCATAAAGTACAGGGAAATTGGTTTCTTGGAGGCACTAGAGACAACCAAAGGAATTGCACTTGAGATGGATATTGGTACAATATTTCGTAAGAAACGAAAAATTACAAGAAAAAGACAATTTGATGAGAGCCCGGATGACACAAACTTGGCCACACAGTCTGCGGAAGAATCATTTAGAATCAACTATTTTATTCCTATTGTTGATCAAGCTATTGCCTCACTTACAAGAAGATTTGAACAGTATCAAAGTTACCAGAAAAATTTTGGTTTCTTATTTACTTCTGCTGCATTGAAATCATTAGATACTAAGAGCTTGAAATCATCTTGTCAGAATCTTGAGGTTGCCCTTGCAAAAGATGTGAATTCGGATATTGATGTCAGTGAACTGTATGTGGAGTTGAAGTTTCTTCAAGATTTCATTCCTAAGGATGACAGCCAGTTGAAATTTTGAAATTTTTAAAGCGACATGATTGCTTTCCAAATGCAAGTATTGCATATAGAGTTATGTTGACTATTCCCGTGACTCTTGCGTCGGCGGAACGGAGCTTTTCAAAGTTGAAGCTATTAAAGTCCTACTTGCATTCCACAATGACACAAGAAAGGCTCAATGATTTGGCTATGATAGCAATTGAGAGTGACATACTGGAGAAGATTAGTTATGAGCGCATCATTGAAGACTTTATTTCAAAGAATGCCCAAAGAATAAGTTTCTTCAAGTGAACAGTAGATACGATAATTCTTGAAATATCCCATTTATATGTTATTTGTTATTATTGTTAAATTTTAATAGGCCATTAGGGCCCCATCTTGGAATTTCGCACTGGGCCCCCGATTTGACCGGGACGCCCCTGGTTAGGCTTATGAACTCTATTGTGGTTTGTTCTTGGTATTTTGATGAAAACTTCTACATTTTTAATTTTGGAATGATGTTTACTTCAACTTAATATATAATTATTTCTCATTGATGTGTTTTGGCATGAATTAGTAATTAGATTTAAAAAGTAATTATGTTGAACTTGGTGTTTATTGTTGAGCCACCAAGTTCAACAATTGTCTAAAATGCATGGAGAAACTAAAGGATTAAAAGTGTAATGGAAGTATATTTTGAAGTATATAATATTTAGGTTCTAAATAAGCATGACATTAGGAGGTCTCTCTACTGTGTATATAAGTTGAGGAGATGTAGGCACATGCTTCTGGAGCTGGTGTATGTGAGGATATAGAGAAACAGAAATGGCCAATTTTATTTAGTAAAATTTTCACTCGTAAACATTAATATGAATCTTACAATGATCTATGCAAAATTGTGAAAGCTATTAAGTCTCAAGTGTGATAGCTTTGTTTCTTCTGGTCTTCTATTTTGTTGTTTTTTGTTAAATATGGATTCCTACTGATAATCAAGTCAAGCAAACATAAATTCTCTTTTAATGTCAACTAATCACATGTCAAATATGTTCATTTTTATGTTTAATGTGGTTGATGCTAAATGATGCAGGATAGAGTTCAAGAACAGTTTAAACTTTCATTTGCATAAATGAGTGAAGGAACTCTATATATAAGTTGTGTTTTAATTTGCATTTCTTGACTTTTTCAGAAACTGTATATATAAGTCATGGGCGCAACATTAATATCTCAATTTTGTACAGAGTTGATCCATTCAATCAGTTTCACAGTTTGCCATGGGAATTATAACACTATTAAACCTCATATCACATTTTTTATAATATGCTCAAGTAATGAGCTCCAAAGCAACTGTACAAGGTGCAACTAACATTTGGCCAAATGAACAATAGTATATCATCCTGAACACACAAATCAACCTCAACAATTTCACACTCAAGCTTTGTACAAAATAAAAAGTCATGATGATCAACATCTGTCATTTCCAAAATAACTCCAACCACATTGTCAATACATATTTACCACACTAATTCTACATATCATCCCAACTGCACGTCACTGAATCCATAGGCTTGTTCCACAACATCATAAAAAGATTTTCATTAAAATACAAATGTCACAAAAGACAACCAAAATGTCACAAAAGACTACCAACAAATGACATCTTGTTCCTCTTAGTCTGTAGGGGTCATTCTTCTTCATGTCGTATGGTCGAAGTCAATCGGGATGCATTTTTTCATCGAACAAAAGGTGGGATGTCTTGAAATACTTTATGCCGTGAGTGCAAAAGTATTTTTCTTGATCGCTCTCCTGCCAACAAAAAAGAATAGATCAGGGCTACAACATTTAATCTAGCACTGTGCCAAAACATATTTCTTGACGAAAATGGACTAACTTTATCATTATAGAGAAGTCAGTCAATATCAAGAAGCACAATACCTTACTATTGGAACACCATGGACTTCTACTTTGTTGGCTTCACGTTGTAATGAACTCCAGGATTGTCTGGCCGCATAAGAGTTGTACACATCACGATAACTCTGCACTAATTTTTATATTATATAAGATCAAGTCCTTGTTGAATTTTTGCATTAACCGAGTTCGTATTAGGCAGATGTATGTATTGAACCTTCCAAGATTATGAACTTCAATGTTGTTCGCAACATTTTCTAGTTGGTCGTAGAGAAACACTTCTTCATTTTGATTACAGTGAGGTGCTACCGACATAATTGATATTACAGCATTACGGGTGTAAGGGTGTACGCTATTGTTTATGTAATCTTTTTTCTCTAAAATAATAAGCAAATGAAGATTTTAGCAACCAGAACCAGTACCCAACAAAGAAACATGTTATTTCTTTAAATCAAAAAATTATTTTGTAGGGCATATCATACAAATTAGATAACTCAAACATGCATTAAAATCAACTTTACAGGAAATAAACAATCTAAAAGAAAATTAAAAAAATAAACCATTTGTTTTCATTTTGTAGGGTTTCAGTTACTAATTTGGTAATACTTAGGCACAATCAACAATCTGGGTTTCCACACTTTACACAACAAAAACTGCACAAACTCAAACATCCAAACCCTAGTAAAATTATAAATTAAATTCGTAAATAAATAATTTGTCACATACGAACATGTTAAAATTATTAAACTGAAGAAGCCACAAATTGAATAGGTGACGAAATATACCTCGTAGTGGAGCGACCTGACCCTCGCCGGGCTCGAGCTCACCTCCCGTCTGATGTCCGCCGTTCTATCCAATCCCCGTCTGTACTCAAATCATCGGATGGGGTCCCTGACCGCGACCGAGTTTGAGATTGTCGCCCTCCTTTTTGGAGAAGAAAAAAACAGATATCGAAAAATACTGTTGAATCGCAATCGTTGGGGCGAGATCAAGATCTTCTTTTTTTGGAGAGGGTCGCTCATTTTTTTAGTCGAGGTAACAAGTAGGACAATCTTGGAACTAAGTGAAAATAAAGGGGAAAATATGTAGCAATCTGATTTTTGTGTACAAAAATAATGTAAACCAAACAAGTTAATAGGATATAGGCCTTATATTTTGGTAGACTAAAATAACAACCAAACAAAGGTCTTGATGTGATAAGGAGTTAAGGATTAGTTGGGCCTTTGCATTATTGATAGTATCAAGCCCAATCAATTTCTGCAACCAAACTGAGTGTAAAAGAACTACGAGAACTTTAATTCCCGAGGTAAGGGATACATAAGCAACTTAATTGACATATTACATAACCAGCCCGCTCGGACCAAAACCGAAACCGATTGAACTGGCCCAAAACTGCTGATTCAGTGAATCGACCTGTACCTACATCTGGGCCGGTTATGGGCCCGTGTTTTCAAGCCCGGTGACAATCCGGGTCGTGACCCGGTCCGCTATTTGGCCAACACGCCAAACACACCCCCATTTTGATCATATCTCTTCCCCAACCACAATAGGCTTTTCCACATATATGAAGAGTTTGATCGTGCTATTGCTTCCAGTATATTAGTTCCACAGAAGGATTTATATTTTAGCACTTGCTCACTGAGGGAATATGGAAAAGAAATGATTCTCCAAAATTTCTTAAACAAAATAACTTGATCAAACAACTTGACATCTTGAAAGCCAATACTCCCATTATGTTTCCTTGGGCACAACAAATCCATCTTACCCAAGATAATTTGTTAACTTCCTCAGAATCCCACAAATTTGTTTGCAAATACCGCTTGGAGAACAAAACAAGCTCATGAATTTGATTGACATTGCTTGGATGATTATTTTGATTATCTGGTTGAAGAGAAAAAAATATGGTTCCAACTTTGTTACCACTTCCATAATTTTTCTCAAATGCCAGCAAAGGCGTGGATTACGCGGATTTTATGACGCCCAATAACATATGGGGAGATCAAGCTCCTGAATTCCCAATAGACCCCCGATTTCTTTGCGTGAGTATTTGGAGAGGAAGTGATAGTGATTTTTTCTAAGTTAACAAATTGTCCAAAAGCTCTTTTATCATGAGATAGACGCTTGTTTACAATTTGGAGAGGAAGTGATAGTGATTTTTTCTAAGTTAACAAACTGTCCAAAAGCTCTTTTATCATGAGATAGACGCTTGTTTACAACATAATTCGTCCAAAGTGAGTTATTTGGTTAATCAGAATTAATTTTAAAAAATGTGGTATGGTTAGTTGCTAGTGAGATTTTAAGGATGTATTAAAATAATATTTAAAATAAAATTATTAAAATTAAATTTTGATGTAAAAGTAAGAGATAAATGATTGGAAATGATAGGTAGTTAAAATTATGTGAGTGAATGAATAGTGAATTAAAGTTGATGTGATGTGTAAGAATGATTGGTTTGTATTATTTAATTATGTGAATAACATTAAAGATAGTAGGGTTGATGTAGGAAAGCGTACGAGTGGGAAGGATAAACGAGATACTCTCTCGTAAAACTCACAAAACTCAACAATATCTTATTTTCATTCAAAATCAACTGCCCTAATAACAAAGCAGGAGAGCCCTTAAAATAAAACTCTCAAACTGAACCCTATCTTATTCTTCAAGCTAACTACTACTACTACTACTACTACTACTACTAATAATAATAATAATAATAATAATAATAATAATAATAAAGGATAAACGAGATACTCTCTCGTAAAACTCACGAAACTCAACAATATCTTATTTCCATTGAAAATCAATTGCCCTAATAACAAAGCAGGAGAGCTCTTTAAATAAAACTCTCAAACTGAACCATATCTTATTCTCCAAGCTAACAAATAATAATAATAATAATAATAATAATAATAATAATATTATTCTTATTATTATTATTATTATTATTATTCTGCATCATTCTCCCCCGGTTGATCAGGATTCGCCCTCGAATCTGACCCGTTCCCGTTGGAGACGTCTCATGATAGGAATAGCCCACCGTTTCCTTCGATCGAACATGAAGGTTGAAGGTTGCCTAACAACCCCGGAAGTAAACATAATCTTGGGCAAGGATTGAACTGCTGCAAAGGCACGTGTACACACCTCTATACGCATAACCTACACAGCTGAATTAACACAAAACATCCCACATCGTTCGCCGGGCTCAAATCCATAACTACGAGCAAGCATCCTGTTGTTGTGATACTTCGCGATAAACAATCGAAAAGTGGCCCACCAGTTATTGAGCCTCGGCTTCGGCTCCGAAAAACCATCTTTGGCCAAAATACTCAAAAAATTGGGTGCGAATGACGGCTTCCCCGTCAAAGACTCAACTTCTGCGACGTCCCACGCGGGACTCATATTGCTGCAAAGATATGTCTCCATCACCGGAGGCTCCTCATTGAAAATAGGTGGACCATCATACAATGGCCCGTCATTTTCCTCAAAAATCGCACTCTGTTGCTGCACATCTTGGTCATCGTGCGCAGTAACGAGCTCAGTCTCGACGGGCGGAGGCGGCCACTCTCTGAAGGGATCCACCTCCGAGATGGTTTCCACGTCGTCTGCATCGCCGGCCGGCAGTTGTGGAGATCGCTGACGGGGCGCCCCGCCTGGACCATGATCTCCACTTCCTCCGTGAAGTCCCCCGCGCACACCCCGGTCGCCGGCGGCACGGTTCATCTGCAAATCTCAGACCACGTTGTTAAGCATCAAACGCAAATCCTCGATCCTCGTCTAAAGATCGGCAAACCAATCAGTGAAACGCACGTTCAATTGTTGAAATCGGTAGTCGATCTGTTGAAACCGATCCTTGAAGATTGTGTCACGTCGTTCGTTTGCGGCATTTGTCGTCCCGGCAGCATTGCGAATCGTACTGACTGCTGATACTAACTGATGTAGGGAAGCGTACGAGTGGGAAGGATAAACGAGATACTCTCTCGTAAAACTCACAAAACTCAACAATATCTTATTTTCATTCAAAATCAACTGCCCTAATAACAAAGCAGGAGAGTCATTTAAATAAAACTCTCAAACTGAACCCTATCTTATTATTATTATTATTATTATTATTATTATTATTATTATTATTATTATTATTATTATCCTGCATCAAGGGTTGAGTTAAATTTTGAGTATAATTTAAATGTGAGTGAAATAATTTATAACAAACATGCCGTAAATATGCTAGCTACCACCAAAAAACTTTTCCCCTACCAGATAGCAATTGATATTATTTTCCAAATCTTTTATCTCCGTCATATGAAATCTTAGTCGGGAGGAGCTATAAAGGTAATTGAGACAATCAAATTGATCTCTCAATTCTTTTTTCCAATTTATCAGTCTCTCCCAACCTATTTACTAAGGCCTATCTAACAATCTTTCAATTTAGAGCAACTCCACTGTGACTTTTGACATTACAAAAAATTATCCATATCATCAACTTTTGAAAGTTTATTACTAATTTATTCTCCAATGCATCTTGTCATTAGCTCTTTCATGATGATGTGGATGACATTTAATGTTAACAATGTTGAACTCACTTTCTAATATCTAACACCATGTTAAACATGATGACTCATTAATTCACTTTATATTTGGTTTAATTTTTTATTATTCTTGTATTAATGAATTATTATAATTGGTCCACCTATACAAATAAATTCTTATCAAATTGGTGCATTGGAGATACTAGTTTGATTCAAATTTTTAGTCTTTTAACATTATTCTTATGTGGATTAACATTACAATCAGCAATTGACATGTGTTAAAAATTATTGCCTTTCAACACCATAGCATTGGAGATGCTCTTACCACGTATGTGCTCAAAAGGACTCACCATTTTGGGATAGAGGGCCATTAGTATTCCTCGAGGATTAGACAAGGGCGGAGACATTAACACATATACTCGGGCTTTTGCCCTGGTGGGTGTAGAATATTTACTTACTTTATTTGTCATACATTAAATATGTTTTATCTCTTTATATTTTATTCGGATATCAATTAATTAACTATTTACAGCAAGCTAATTAAATTATCAAGTCCATTCAAATTCTTGTACTAGTCTCATAGATATTAATTAACTATTTATAGCAAGCTAAGTAAATTTGGTTTCCATATTCTTTTATAAGATGTTTCCAACGTGAAACTTGTCAGACATACCCTGGAACATTATCTATGATTTTTCAGTATATTATTTTCTGTTTTATCAAAATAAATTTAGCCCGTGTATATTTTAAATCCTGGCTCTACCCAGACTACACTTTTATATTTTTATTTCCGAGTCCTATACCTTCGAACTAGAAAGGACATTTTATTTCTTCCAGCAAATACCACCCAAACGAATAATAATAGACATGTGATTCGAGCTAAAGAAGATAAGGTGTTTAAGATAATAAATCAATGATAAATATATGAAAAATAATAAATTATAATAACAATACAAAAGCCATAGTTTTTTCAATCTGGACCGTCCCGCGACCCGGAGCTGGGACTAGTCCAGTTGGGTGATTTAGATTGAGTGACTTCGGACCCAATCAAACCCAAACCTTGACTCGAACATTGACCCGACTAGGTCATCTGGTTTGACCCGTCTCTATATTTTTTTTTTAATATTTTTTGTTTCTAAAAATATTTTAGAAACAAAAACTATGTATAAATATTTGTATGTAAATATTTATTATAAGATAAAATATTATTAACATTTGTATGTAAAGAAATTTCATACAAACTATTTATTTCTATGAAAAATTACAATATATTAATTTTTGAAATTTTAAAATAAATTATCTAGTTTATCAATTGAACCGGTGATAGGCAGTTGAGCCGGTGACCCGAGAATGCCTCTCCTAGGCCAACTTTGACAAAAACAAGAAACCACGAAAATACACACGCAAATAGGGGAAAAGCTATTCGATAGTTGCAGCGAAGAAAACCGATCTCAATTCTGAACCTGTTCTTTTCACAAGAGCCATAAAAGGAATGGCATCTACAGCGGCACCAAACCCATGTTCGCTATCTCGCACTAATGGCTCGCAAAGATCAAATTTTTCCGGCACATTCTCATTCAAGATCCCATATTTTTCAGACCCTCGAAGCCCAAAACTCGTTTCGGTTCAATCGCACAACCCCAACCTCGATTCCTTCAAAATGGACCAAACAGCTTCCGGGTTCGGATCTGGGCCCGACGCTTCGGCCCATTTGCATGCTTCGCCGTCCGCCTCTGCCGCTATTGATTTTCTCACATTGTGCCACCGTTTGAAGGTCTGTTGGAATTTATAAAATTTCTGCGTTTTTTTTCAACTCTGTTTTGGTTTATGATGTGATGATTAATGTGAATCGATCTTGTTGCATTTTTGTTGTGGCTTTGGCTTTAGCCAGTGATGAAAACGGGTGAATTCAGTGGGTTAACTATTTTCTCTTTTGTAAAAAAATTGTCTTTTTTTTTCTTTGTCAAATGTGCACAGTTGAGAGTTATGATGAGAGAATAAGGTGTTTTGCTTTTAGTACTGTCAAATTTCTGGGCTATTTAGTATATTTATTATATGATTGTGCATGTATTATCACCTTGTAAACTGTGGTGCTTAAATTGTGGGCATGTGAAAAATATTGACTTTATCATGTTGAAGGTCTCTGCAAATATAAATTTCTTAGGTTGATGTATCACTTCCGAACTCAGCTCGTTAAGTTTCTTAGCTATGGGAAAATGAAGGGAAGATTATAGGAAGGTTTAGGAAGAGGAAAAGGACTAAGCATTTTCTGTTCCAAGATTTTTTGCATTGTTGTCTGAACACTGTCCTGGTTGAATCTTCGAATACACGGATAAAATGCATATAAATAGTTCAATTGGTTTGTAGCTGTTATGGTTTTAAGCTAATCTCTCTCTCTCTCTCTCTTGCAGTCTACTAAGCGAAAAGGATGGATCAATCATGGGATAAAGGGACCTGAGTCAATAGCTGATCATATGTACCGTATGTCATTGATGGCTTTGATTGCTGATGAGCTTCCTGGTGTCAACAGAGAAAGGTGTATAGTTTTTTCTCGTCATTTATTTTCTCTATTCATGTGCTTTATTTTACACTAAATGACGACGTGTGTGCTAGCACTTATAAGCCGACAAATAGTCTGTTTTTTTCGGAAGCCTTGTAAATCATAATGAAAACTAATCACTCTAGAATACTTCATGAAGAAGAAGAAGGGGCAGCGGAATTTTTTTGAAGAAAATGCGGCAGGTGGTCATAAGTTGTTCTTCTAGAATCTTTGAAATTATTCAATGTCAGTATGAGCAATATTTCGATATTTCTATTTGAGTATGATGATTTATGCTAAAATGCTTCAATACTACTTTGTCTCATGTTAATCAAGTAGTGTGATTTATGTAATTTTTCTATTAATGCGCATGAACCAGGTGCATCAAGATAGCAATTGTTCACGACATTGCAGAAGGTATTTTATTCTTCTTTTATTCAATCGTATGATTCTGACTTGCTTATTCGTGTTTCACTGTTTCGAGCGTCAATACCTCTCTCTTATGTCCTTTATTTCCACCTCTCGATATTTATTCGAGTAAATTTTCATATATATTTAATTCTATTTATGATAAAATGGCCTTTCACCTCATGAATTCAAAGGGATTCAAACATCCCAATCTGTACCCACCATTAGAGGCTATATTCTACAATGCCAATAATTGTCATTTTATTGCTATAAAAGTACAACATTTATCAAATGAGCTTTGTGTTGTCTTGCTATAGTTTTCCCTCCTATATACATATGGGAATCTAGCAACATAAAAGCTAAAAGTTTGAATATTTTAAAAGAATGTAAATTGAGTAAGAGCTTCAGCTATGCTTAAATGTCAAAAGAACGCATAATTTCTCATTTGTCAATACTATATTTTCAATTTCTCCCTCCCTCTCATTTTCCTTCTCCTTTTGTTTATATTTTTTTTCTGCAAGTCTTTTCAAGGTGCTACTAATCTGCTTTTTGACCGACTTTCGCTCTCCTTTTCCCATTTGTCAGTTTCAGTAGGAAGTACATTATGCAGAACATGTGTTGTGTATTTATCGTCATTCAACGTGTTAATTAGAGGTCGTGTTATATTTTGTAGCTATTGTTGGTGATATAACTCCATCTGATGGTGTGCCAAAGGAAGAAAAAAGCCGAATGGAACAAGAAGCCTTGGATGAAATGTGCAAGGTTCTCGGAGGCGGAATGAGAGGTCTGGATATGTTCTCCACTTCCCAAAAAACGAATAAAATAATAATTACAATAAAAATAGTAATGAGGAAAAATAGATAATCACAATGCCTATACTTTGGTATTTAGCCTAATTACAAATGAAGCCTATTTATCTCAATAGCCCCTTGAGGTTTTCTATTTTTAACACCCACTTTTTGAGGGATGTTATTTTATTTTGAAATAAAAATATTATAGTTTCTTGTTTTTTAATTAGGTGATATTGACTTTTAGAACACACGTCCTATATTTTTATTTTTATTTTAATTTAGTGCATCAATTATGACATCCTATCCTTTTGTCAGCTGAGGAGATCAAAGAACTGTGGCAAGAGTACGAAAACATCTCATCTATAGAGGCCAAACTTGTGAAAGATTTCGACAAAGTATGTAATCCCTCGTTTTTTACGCCAGTTTTTAGGACTTAATTCAAATCCTACACTATTTTTCTCTTCCAAGAAGATTATAATTTTTTACGCCCTGAGGTGACAATTTCCATGAAGCAGTTCTCTGCAATTTCATATTGAATTTTAATTTGCACACTTAATAACAATTATGATGTCTTTTTCAGGTTGAAATGATTCTGCAAGCACTAGAGTATGAAACAGGTGAGTTTTGAGCATAAAATATTATTTCGAACTGTTTGTAACAGTTAATATAGTTGGTCAAATACTTTGACATCATCCTAAAAAACCTATTTTTCTACTTTCTATTCTGCTTTTCATTAGAGTACCATAATATATTCGAAGTTTGAATAATGCCATCTTGAATTTGTTAAATGGAAACATTATTTGGCAGAGCATGGAAAGGTCTTGGATGAATTTTTTCTGTCCACAGCAGGTAACACATCAGACGAATAATTCCCTTCAGAAACTTGAATAATGTTTTTTTTTTAATTTTTTTTATTCAGTAATTTGTGATTGTCTTTGATTGATTTAAGGAAAAATTCAAACTGAAATCGGAAAAAAATGGGCAGCCGAAATCACTTCCAGGAGAAACTCGCAATTAGCGGATAGGCTTAACTAGCAATCCTCTTGTTGCATTCTTTTTTGTCCCCAGTTAGTAATAATATGTTTATTAGTAGCTAGTTCGCTACAGTTCGACAAAATCGCATCTTTGTTTACGCAAATTCTTGACCGAGTTTTTTTTCCAGTAGAAGAGTGTATCCTCCCTTTTTATTATTCTCGGCTCTTTTT